TAGTGCTCTACCACTTGAGCTACAGCGCCACTTCCGGTTTTCTGGTGGTTTATTGGAGATAGGAGTCTCACGGTCTCTCCTGCCCGGGCTGGCTTGAAACTGTGATCCTCAGATCTCATCTTCCTGACTAGTTAGGATTTCAGGCGTGAGCCACTAGCGCCCGGCTTTAATCTCTGCTTTTTGAGAGAGAGAGAGAGAGAGAGAACAGAGTACAAAAATAAGAAAGAAAATTATACCATTTTCTTGCTTTTGTTTTTTTTATTACAATTAGGGATAAAAGGAAGATAGGGAAGGTCCTCTTTCCTGGTAAGAATGAAAATTTCTCACTTCCAGGAACATTCTTCATCTCTATCCTGATTCACAATAAATGTCTTGCTTTCTCTAGATATTTTCAGGGGTTCTAAAAACCACATTTTCCTAGCTTTTCCACCAGGTGGTACAGCATCAAAAAGAAATTACTATTATTACTATTATAGGTCCTATGACAAACCCAATCCTTCAGGCTTTCTAGAGAAAAGGTGAGTTTCTATCACACTATATAGCAGAAGTGTTTACCTTATTCCTACAATCATAAGCCCAATAAATGAAGGCTTATCTGACCTTACCGTAAAAAAATGTTTTTTAGAACACTTTGCTTTATGAGTTTTACTTCCTTATTCACAAAGCTTATCAGGAACTTAGAAGTTTCATTCAATTCTTTAAATAAACCAAACCCTCACCAATATTCAGATTTTAGAACCCTTTTCCACCTGGCAGATATTCCCAGTAAGTTAAACTCAACACCTGCAATGTGTAATTGCTGGAAGGGGAAATGTACAAGCAGAAAGTATACATTTAGGTTTCAAGTCAGAAACTACTGCTAACTGTCCTGATTGCAGCACCAACTTCAAAAGGCATATAAATGTTGATTTTGTGTGTGTGTGTGTGTGTGTGTGACTATTACCTAAATTAACACAAAACCACTACTTGTATCTAAGTCTAGGAAGACTGTCTTGACCTTTAAAGCCCTCATAAAATTCCTATGTGCTATTCTGGCTCTCGTGGAAGAGAATCTCACACCCAGAAAATCCAAATGTTAGCCAGTTTCTGGAAATTACAAGGCAGCTCTGAAACAGATTTCAAACTAGCACCACAAGCTATTTTCCCCATTTCAAATGGGAAGAGAAACTTGTGTTAAGAGAAAATGCAAAATGGACAGAGAAGGGAGGCCTAGTAAGAGAGACAAAGGCAAGGTGTGATGTCCTCGCACCAGGAATTGGGTGTGGAGGCCATCTCTGTCTTCCCATTCACCCCATTAGTGTACACCCTACTAATTAGAGATCACTCGAGTACAACCTTGAAGTCTGAGAGACATTAAACACGGGCCATCCACCGCCCCAGAACTTCATTCCCAGGTAAAACCTAAGAGTAAAGAAACTTGACTTCTCCCCCTGTCTGTTAACCATCCTCTCCCTCTCCTTTGGCAATTCAAGAGGCTGGAGAAGACTAGAGCTTCCAAATCTTAGAAAGTGGTTCACTAAGCTTAAAATGTTTGGCAAGGATACCCTAGACAGATTCTCTCCCCATCACCCTTCACCGGACCCCCTGTCTCCTCCCCCCCCCAAAAAAAAAAACCCTCATCATCCCTTCCCTGAACGGTTTGTCTACTTCTAGCCTCCAGCACTGTCTGATAGAAACGTCTGGTGAGCGCCTGCTGCGTTTGAAGAGCAACAAGTTTGTTCCAGTACAGCTCTCTCTCATCTGCTGTGAGCTTGGCCGGCTTGGCCGGGCTCCCGGGTGCCGCTCGCAGGCGATTAGGCCGTGGGTTCAAACCTCAGAGGTCCGGCTCAGAGTGCCCCGTTTGGAAGGCTTCTCAAGTTTAAAAAAAAAAAAAAAAGGCTACTCACGATCTGGAAACTGGCACACGTTCCCTCCCCATCTTCCCCCCAGTCATGCTTCCCACGGCATGTTTCCTCCAAAAAAGGAAGAAACCGACCTAAAGCTCGGCCCTGGCGGCTAGTCACCTCCCGAACCTCGGGAGCCTGTGGGCAAAACCCGCCGGCTTTGCAGGGAACCCACGATCTTCGGTCTGGCCACCTAGATTGATCTCTTATGTACTTTCCGTGAGCTGTGACTACGATCGGGGCCCGCGTGGACCTCCGTCCCCCTCCCCCGCCAGCGTGCCCGGAGCAGGGTGGAGGGGAAGGCGGGGTGTCGGTCACCCCGACTCTCACACGGCCCCTCCAGACACGGCCGCGGCCTCGCAGGGAGGGCGGGCGCGGGGACCGCTGACCCCGCAGGGACGCGATGGGGGGGCGGGGGGCGCAGGGACAGTGGCCTTGGGACGCCGCCCGGCTCTCGCAACTGCTCCCAGCCGCTGGAGCCCCCGGGCGAAGCCTCGGAGGCCATCTGGCGCGCGCAAGACGGCGGCGGAGGGCCCTCCGCCTCCCCGCGCTTCCTCCGCCGTTCTCCGCCTTCCCTGGCCCCGGGCGCCCGGCGTCCACAGGAACAGGCTCCGAGCTCGTTCCCGCGACCCCAAGGCGCAGAAGCAGCCCCTTCCCGGCCACCGCTGTCCCCGCGAGCATCCCCAGCGCGCCGCGCACGGACACGTGGAGCCAGGGACCGGGACCCCGGGAGCGGGGGCGCGCCGCCCACTCACTTGCTGGCCGGCGCGGGGCTTGCCCTGGGGCGCTCTCCTGAAGAAGGAGGTCCTGGCGGTGAAGAAGAAGTCCTCAGCGTCCTCCTCCAGGCTGCTGTAGCCGCTGCTCATGCTGCTGGTGCCGTCGCGCGCCGGCGGCCTTCCCGGGGCGCAGCCAGACAGGC